TCAAAGATCCACCTTGTCCCCAAGGTGGAAATATGCTCGTGTTCTCGCGGAGGTGGCCATCCTTGATATGACTGAAAAACTTTACTGTATTGCTGAAGCATAATACTAAGTTAAGTGTGGCAGAGATAAGGATGCTCAGGTGGATGAGTGGCTTTACCCATAGAGATAGGATACAAGATGAGCATATACGTGAAAAGGTTGGAGTAGCTCCAGTAGAAGATAAGATTAGAGAGAGTCGCCTTAGATGGTTTGGTTACATAAAACGGCGGCCTTCCAATGACCCGGTTAGGAGAGTAGAGGTATTAGATTTGACTTATGTTAAGAAAGGTAGAGGCAGACCTAAAAAGACTTGGTTAGAAAATATTAGGAATGACCTTTCTTTATTAGATTTAAACGAGAATTTTACCTTTAATAATACCTTATTTGAAACAAAATAGATATAAGATTGAGATATTAAAATTATATATATAAGTAAATATATATATATTTTTAATTGAATATGCAAATATTTAAGAACTTTGTGATGTATATTTTATAGAATGAAATGTAAATATCTCCAAATTATTTATGAAATAGTGTTAGCATTACAAAAATCCAATATAGAAAATATTAATTGCCACAGTTTAATGAATTAAACCTTAATTATTTTGTTGGTTTAGCGTTAACAATATTGGATCTGCATGATTGTTGTTCTATTCTTTTATGAAAGATTCACTTCATTTTCTATTCTTTCTTTATTAATCTCTATTAATTAATGATTTTTGGTACATTTGGTTAGGGTTTAAATTAAAATTTAAAAACCAAAGAAAATTTTACCGTTGCCTTATTAATGTCATATTGGACAGGTGTTCAGATGATTTTTGTTAAATATAAGTTCTACAAAATTTAATATATTAAGCTAAGTATTAAAAATTTTCATAATTAGGAGGTGTGTTTAGTAAGATCAAATTATGCAATTTTCATGAATGAAAAATATTTGCAATCTCTTTGTTCAAAGTTTTATGTGTGAGTCATTAAATATTTTATCGCGCGTAAAAATCATCTCTTAATGACAAGTTTTAAGGATGATTATTTGAAAAAAATAATTTTCTTAGTAGTTGACTATGTTAGGTGATCATTATGATAATTATGTTTGATATATCATCAAATAGTTTTTATCATCGGGTACAAATCTTGAGGCAAATTTTACAAGGAAACTTACAAAATTAAAACTTTGACCGTAAAAACTCCGATTTCAGTATACTTATAGTCAAACTGAATATCTTGAAAAGATGAACCAAACGAAACCAAATTCGGCCAAATTCTAAATATTTGCACTTTGTTAAGTATTTTAAATACAATGAATGTAATTTACACTGTATTTAGAAAGCATTGAATTGTAAATATTTGCAACTAGACAACCGGCCGTTTAATAAGACCCATTTAAAGACTTTGTTTGAGATGATTTTCTTAATACTTCTTAAAACAGGTTTTTGGTATAAAATTTTTCATTTTTGTGCTACCGTGCCAAATGACGCCTAAGGCACTATCGAAATCAATCTTCTTATTCTCAAGCTTTGGCAGGATATATTATAGAAGACTTTCACTTATTGTATGTTTGCCAATAGGTCGTACGTGCTCAATTGAATATGATAACGAGCCAAATGTTAAAAAAATAAATAAAACATTTTCTTGTTGGGAAATTTCTATAAGTAGACCCATATACTTATATATATAAATAAAGTTTTATACATTATACGCTATCTAAAATTAAGCTAATTAAATTTATGATCTATTTAAGTATTAAATTATTATTTGGCATATATGACATCTCAATTAAATTTTGTACGGAATTAATTTGTGTACGTAGAGGCCGGGTATTTATTTTATTTTAATGATGGGCTGAAATAAAATATTTATACTTTAAGTATATGAGGGTCGTGGTCCCCAGTTTAAGCGGTTAAGTTCTCATTTATCTCATTTCCCATCTTGAGTGAAAAGAAGGGGTCTCTCGCTCTCTTCGAGAACACCGCTCTAAACGTGGAAGACCGAAAACCTCAACTCTGCATTTCAATGGATTCAGGTACGCTACCGAAAATTCTTCTCGATGATTTGACATGTCTTTCGGAGACGATTAATTTTATTTTTTTAGTCTCCATTGCATCCTAACATTGCTTTGCAAGCCAAGATAAACAATATAGATTAGCTTATTGAAGCTCGACTTGTTTACATCTGTCTGTTAAGACATATTAGACATATTTATATAAAAGAATTCACATATGAGAGCATGTGACTATTGAATACAATGTAAATGATTAACTCAATTGATCAATATCATAATTTTTTTTTTTTTTAGTTTGACTATCAATATCATAAAAAATTTGCATACATAACTAACATAAAAAACATTCACCTAAGAAATTGGTAGAAATAAGTATAAAATGTAAATATAACTTTAGAGAAATATGCACAAATATTTTTCCATAATTTTGCACCAAATCAGCATGCATTCAAGCCTTAGCATACCCTTCACCCAATATTCCACTGTGACCTCCTCATATTGAATAAGATCCTAGCTATGAATGTAATATAAGATGATACATGCTATAACTACATGACTCATCATATGATATGATGAATATGATAATATGGTCCATATGATGTTATAACATGATAATGATCATATATGTATTGATTCTTTCATTGTATTGATTTCTTTAAAGATTTTTTATAATATACTGGGCGTTTTAATACATTGGGCTTTATTTACGCTTTGTAAATATTGTGCTTGCACTTTTAAAATCATGATTAAGAAATAAAAATTTTGATGTAATTTGTACAATGCTCATGATGATGAAAATGATTTTGAGATTGTAAACGCTACAATCATTGTAAATTAAAGCAATGATGTTTCTAATTTATGTATGTTGATTGACTCAGATTTTATTTGAGACAACTTTGATGCTATTTCTTAAATCAGCTTTCTAATAAAAAAATATTTTTTTTACTAGAAAGCTGATTCAAGAAACACTAAAAAAGTCATCACAAATGAAGCCTTAGACTTGATTTGTCATAGCTTTATTACTGCTTTCTAAATCTGTTTTCCTATTTTATCCTCTTATATTTAAATTTGTTCATTTTTTAGTTCCAATAAGAAGATTTCATATGTAATATGTACTATTATATAATTGTGGGTTCGGCCCCGGCCTCCAACCGACATTTTACTTTTTTTCTTTGGCGAGGGAGTTTTAACGGATTAAGTTCCTGGTAAATTTTGAAAGGAATATGAGTTTGTAAATAAGACACTATCCAGAGATTTCGCCCTCATTTTGCGAGGACTTTATGATCCGAGTTTTGGTTTCCTATAGGCGCAAGCCCCTATAGTTAATTACCCCTCCCGATAACGAGAGAGAACTTTCGATTAAGGCTAGTCGTTGATCAGATACATAGAGATACGTGATATCTATCATATAGTAGCAGCATGAGTTTGGATTTGGGAATTTGAGAAGTTTGATATTTAAAACAAAAAATTTTCACCATCTTGCACTTAAAGCAGATGGTGGAGGAATGTATGATAGACCCGATTAAGATCATATGGTTCCATTATCCCGGGCCATCGTGGTCCCTAGTCTACTTAGTTAGAGGAGGTAGTTGACCCAACCTGACAAAAGGATCATTGTCGGCAGTCATGGGTTGCTTCGTCTAAGGGGACCTTGTAGACCTATAATGTGTATTTGCCTAAGCGGACAAATTTGAATCCACCTTAGCTAACAGAGGGCTTTGTGCCCTATCGATTATATTATATTGATTCATATATCAAGGATTTAATGTCACTAAGGAGCGTATTGGCTCTGGCCGTAACCGGTATTTCGTGGTGCCATTTGGCTGCAAAACCACTCAGTTCAGAGGGCCCCGGGTCATAACCGTTTATCATTGTTAATAACAATATTGCTAACTACTATTAATGATAACAGTGATAACTAACATTATCAAAGGATAATCCTATCAATTAACAACAATACACAATCAACAGTGATAATGATAAGCAAAAATTATATACCTTCTTTTGGAGTTTTGTGAGCTTTCTGGATGCTGTGAGTTGAAGAAGTATAGTGAAATAGACCTTTAATGGAGGGAAATTGGTTTGTTTGATCTTTTTTTTTTTCTTTCTGTAAAAGGGTTGATTTGAGAAGTTAACAGGCTTTGGAAGTGGGAATAATTCTAAGAGTGTGGAGTGGGACAGTGGGTTTAAGGCTATCATGGGAGGCACTACTTATGGGCAAATTATTGCGTCCGGTGTCCGGATTCGTCCGGACATCAATCCGGTGTTGCCACGTTACCAAAATACACCGGGGCCCAGTATATTTGGGTGACGTGGCGTCACCGGATTGGATGTCCGGACATCCGGTGACCGGACGCAATAATCGCCCCTACTTGTGAGGTGGATAAGAGCAAGAAAACGGTAGGGACTTGTTAGTGCAAGGGTAGAGACGATTTGACGGAAAAAAGGTCAATCTATTGTGGCTATTTGCTTGGAACTTTTATTTGGTCCGGTCACAGGACGTAGCTCTACGTTCGGCCGCCAGTAGAAAAGCCGTTTTGCTCAAAGTATACTAGCTCGAGCAGGTATGACAAATTGTAAACCAGTATCAACTCCTTCTCATTTAAAATCCTCTAATTCCCCTGGTCTAACTGCTGCTTATTCTAATCCTACGTTTTATCGTCAACTCGCCGGCTGTCTTCAATATCTAACTCTTACTCGCCCGGACATCGCTTACACCGTCAACAAGGTTTGCCAACATATGCAGAATCCGACCATTCTCCATTTTGAAGATCTCAAGCGTTTATTACGGTACATTCAAGGCACGCTGCACGTCGGTCTCCCTCTGTTCCGGGACAAACCGATTCTACAGTCTTTCTCTGACTCCGATTGGGCAGGAGATGTGAAGGATCGGAAATCTATAACCGGATATTGCAATTTTCTTGGCTCATCTTTGATATCCTGGAGTACAAAGAAACAAAATGTCGTCGCCCGGTCATCCACTGAAGCCGAATATCGGGCTCTTGCTTCTACGGCAGCTGAGATCACCTGGATCCGGCGACTATTACATGAATTAAATTGTCCTCAACCCACTTCCACATCTCTCTTTTGCGACAATACTTCAGCTATAGCTTTAGCAAACAATCCTGTGTTTCATGCCAGGACTAAACACATTGAGGTTGATTGTCATTACATTCGTCATTGCATTACAGATCAAACAATACAAATTCATCACATACCTACTACCGATCAAGTAGCTGATATTCTGACTAAACCGTTACCTGCTCCTAGATTCAAACTTCTTGCTCACAAACTGGTTCAACCGTTGGAGACACCAGTTTGAGGGGGGATATTAGACAGCAGTTATTTACTTTATTTACTTTAGTTTTATTTTACTTTACACGTGTAACTTGGTTATTGGTTTATTTTGTTCAGGCTATCTATGATGCCTATATAATAGGTTGTACTCTTTTACATTTGAATATACTTGATTTTCTTTCTTTAGTTTCTGTTTTCTGTTTCCTTCTTTCCCTTTCCTGTTCAAGCTTTCACCGAAGCTTTCAGTGAGGAGTTTTTTTAGTTCTCTGTCCAAGTCGAATCCCGGCTCCATGTAATTTCATTTTAAGGACGAAGAGTTGCATTCAGACGAGAAGACGACTGCCACTGCGGGATTTCAGGGATTCAAAGCAGAGATTTGCAATGGATTTCTGATAAAACGAGTTCATCACATTAAATGTGATTTGAGGTTTATTTTTACATTCTGCATTTTTTTTTTAAATTAGTAATAATATAAAATCATGTCATTATACCAAAGTAACCAAACCATGTCATGGCCACTCATGAATCCTAAAATGGCAACGACATGTCAATCAGTTATAATTGCTTCGCTCAGTGTGTATTTCCTTGAAAAATTATTAGGTGCGGAATGCGGACGGGGTGAGAACCGTCTGCACAGACACAGGGTACCAAGCGGTACCCAGTGGTACCGAGTGGTACCGAACGGTACCGAGCGCGATTTTATACTAGTGTGCGGACGGTTCTCCCGTCCGCACTCCGTACCTAATAATTTCTCGTATTTCCTTAGAAGACATGTACCTATTTTGAAATGTGCGTATTTCTCTTCGTTTAACGTGTCAAATTTGTCGAATATCAAAATTAGATAAATTTGGAGTGCATTTAGGGTATTACTGATGTTCTGGTCGCAACGACGCAATTTGTTTATGATCAGAGGTTGTTTGGGCGACGTCGAGGCCAATTCTCCTCGATATGCGTGATGTCAATTTGGAACTGCCTCGATTTGAGCGTTGACCTCAATTGTATAAAATAACAGTTTAGTTAGAGTGTTGACAGTGTTCCGGATGCACTGACGAAGTTCGTTCGTCAATCAGACATCATTCGGATGACGCCGAGGCCTAGTTTTCTCAAAATAGGCGCGCTTTGCCTCTATGTTCTTATCGACCCCCCTCGCATGCCCATTGATTTGTTAAATTGAATGTCATCATTAGGTACTCTAAGATATTTGAGATTTTCCAATCGCAAAGACGCTGTCCGTTTTATGATCGGACTTTGCGTGGGCAACCTCGAGGCTTCCTTCCTCGATATGCGTGTTTTGTCTCAAGATTCATGTCATCACCCCGGATGATCCAAATTGAATATAGAAAATGTATTTCTTAAGTATTTGCATTATTCCAATCGCAACAGAGAAATATGTTTCTAGAACGGACATCATTTGTACAACAACGAGGCCAATTTTCCTCGAAATTTGTGCTATTGCCTCGGTATCCATGCCACCAATATGGATGCTTCAAATTAAAAAAAAAACAAAATATAGTTTTCAAAGGTTGACAATATTTCGGACGCAACGACGAAGTCTGTTTGTCGATCCAACATCATTTGATCAGCCTCGCGCTTTAATTTCGGGTGTCTATCGTCCCTTTTGACCGATCTCGTCCAATTTAATCGCGAAGAGCCTTGACCCAGCATAATCCAATGTCCTGATCAAAACGATACCATCCGTTTGGCATTCAGATGTCATTTGACTTCTTAAGTGATGCGTTTTGTCAATATACACATTGCCTAAATCATTAATTTCGCCTCTTTTTGCGTGGTTTTATGTGTAGGGGTCAGCAATAATAAAGACATTTGATTTTTTTTAATGTAAATTTGTATTATAATATTAGTAAGTATACATAGCAATAAGTCAATCATCAAACTTAATGATTAATTATGATTCTATAATATAGTAATAAATAAAAAGATAATACATATATAAACTTTTAGCCTTTATTTAAGAGAATTTAAACATGAGCAATGATTAGATAAAAATATTATTTTATATTGTATTTGTCAAATTATGACTTTTAATATGTCATTTATTTCAGAAGCAACATCCAATATTTAAATCAATTAGGATATAATCATTTTCATTTCATTCTCAAACATTATTTATTTTTTATTGAAAGAGTATATTGCTTCTCTAACTAGTAATATAAGGATATAAGGATAAAACTCTTTCATTTAACATGCAAATACATTTCCTTTCATTATCTTATTTTAATTTTATATTTAGTTTTGTATATTTATGAGTTTCAATAAGATGATTTTATGATTTTATATTGAATATTTATTACTATAATAAAGAAATTTGATTATTTCTTTTAATGTAAATTTGAGTAACTGAGTTATAATATTAGCAAATATACATACAATAAGCCATCCCAGTATGTCATTGAATCATAAAAAAATTGAATTGCCATAAAATAAAATTTAATCACTCATTTTAATTATTTTTTTTGAAGATTAATACTTTTACTTCAATGTTTCATCAATTCTTAGATATTTCTTTTTAAGTCAAAGCCTATGCATCATGTACCGGCATATGAATTCGCCCAAGGAGAATGATGGGCATCACTCACCTACATTCGCTCACCTACAATCGCCAAGGAGCTTGCCCTACATTAGGCGACCAAGAATTTCCTTACCAAACCACATATGAGCTAGCTCACCATACTTAGCTACAAGGAAGCGCCTACGTACCCCAGAAACTCCACACTCCATTCAGCTACTACCACTAAGCTTAGGGACTTTTCACCCCCGCAAACATCTGTTCTCGCCTTTCATGACAATATGACCTTGAACCAGCCACACCAATCATAAAATTAATAATACAATTATCTAGCTATGGGTTCATCTCCTCTCAGCACTCGCCCACAGACTCACCCTACACAAACTCACCTCTCTTGAGCTTACAACTGCATCAAAATCTGAGTCAAAATCTCTTTTCATCATTCCGTCCACAACGAAAAGTCATTCCTCCCCTCTCTCTCTTTCAATATTTTACCCCAATAGTCTCTCTCTTTACAGCTGAAGCATTGTATGGTCCAGGTAGAAGTTGGATTGAAGACTTTGAAATGTTAAAAACCTGTTATAAATAAAATGAAAGCTCACAAAGAATTTTACAGGCCACAGCAGGAAGTAGCCACCGAACAGCCAAACTCCTCTTCCACGTCCAAAGAAGCCTCAAGTAAACACCAAGCTGCATTGCAATAAGTCTTATTAGATTCTTTGTACAATCCTCATTGATTTATTGCCGATTTCCTTATTAAAAAGAGCTGTCTACCGGTTTTCTTATTAGTTTTCTACAGTGAAAGATTTCTTGAAAGCTATAAAACAATCTTGGATCCCTTCGAAGGCCATTTAAGGTGACAACACAGCAGCTAAGCATAGCCGGCCAATACAATCCTTGGGCAAGTTCTTCATCTGCCGCACAATAATTCACTAGAAGTGTTGAAATCTATTTACTGCTAGTCTTTGATGTTTTTCTTTAGTTTTCTTCAAACTCTTGAGTTCTTATGCAGTTTAAAGATTTAGTCATTTGGCGGTAGAGCGTTTTTGTAGGTTTGAGCCAATTGTAAAGTAAGGTCATCTTTGGTTTCTCTTTTATTAGTTGGTGAGGCCTTAATCTTTGTTTTTGTTACTCGGTGTTTAATTTTTGGTATCAGAGCCTAGGTCAGAATGCTCTAGTGAAAGATAAGATTAGAGAGGAGTTGCCTTATATGATTTGGTCACATAAAACGGCGGTCTTCCGATGACCCAGTTAGAAAAGTAGATGTATTAGATTTGACTTATATTAAGAAAGATAAAAGTCGACCTAAAAATATTTGGTTAGAAAATATTAGAAATAATCTTTCTTTATTAGATTTAGATCAGAATTTAACTCTGAACATGACACAATGAAGAAAAATGATTCATATAGCCGACCCCATATAGTAGGATAAAGGCTTGTTGTTGTAGAGTAGGTCAGAATGATTCTTAGGAGAAACCAACCCCATCAAACCTAAGAGTTAGCTATGGAAGATCCAACAACTACAAACTAGGTTCATGGGCGGATCCCCATTGGGGGGGGCGGGGGGGGAACAAATGCCCACCCTCAAAAAAATAATAATAATAATAATAATAATTTTAGATGGTATATTTTGGAATATTTTGAATATTTTGGATATTTTACCCCCTCTCAAAAAAAATTTTGCCCTAATTTTATCAATCCTAAGTGTCTTTGCCCATCCGCTACCATTTTTTTTGCCCACCCTAAAAAAGAAGCTGGATCCGCCCTGACTACATTAGTAGCCTACAAACGACGTGATAGAAAATCTAGTTCATTTCGATTGGATGAATACCAAATCGAACGTGAAATGAAAAATCCTTTCATCAAGTGTTCCAAAAATCGTCCAATGAAGATGAACTTTATCATAGAAGAGAAACTATAAGAAGATATCAAGATTTTAGCATTAAGATAGACTTTTGAATTTTGAGGGAGAATTAAACTTTGATGATTTTATAGATTGTTTGCACATAGTGGAACACTGAAACTTATTTTTTAATATAAAAAAGTCCTTTTTGATCATCACGTAAAAGTAGTAGCCATAAGCTAAAGAAAAATGCCTCCATTTGATGTGAAAATCTTAAAATAACAGAAGCCAGAGAGGGCTAAAATAAAATCCATTGCTACTTGCCAGTGTGGTTCCCAGATCAGCCAAGAAGACGAAAGTTTAAGACTTTCTATAGCAGAAATAGATTTTTTTTTTTTTTTGTAACAAAACAAAGTGTCCATCACTACTCGATTGTGGCTTTTGTAAAGGACCGTTGTATTCTTTAGTTTTATTACCTATTTTGCCATCTGCTTTCTTTTATTTAAAGACAACTGTACACATTCTTCTAATTAATGAAATCAATATTTTCTCTTTCTCATTTTACTACCGTCTCCGTTCCCTGTGTGCTTTGTTTCTTTTCCTCTATCATGGTATCATGAGCCAACCTATGGGAGATCAAGAATCTGCAACCTCC